TCTCTGTCTCCGACTCATTCCCAAGTCCTATTTTTGCTTTTGGGAATGTTCTTTTTAAAATCTTCTCAGTGCAAGTTTCAAGGGCTGGTATCCTCTAGGGATCGCCTCCCAAGAGTCCCTAGTGGTTAAAACTGGTTTTAAAATCCTAGTAGATTCCCAGTGTGGATGAGGACTCAGGAGGCCTGGGTTCGAATCCCCGCTCAACCATGGAAACTCCCTGGGGGAGTGGAACAGGTCAAAACACTCCTTAAAAATAGCTCATTTACCTTGAGAGCCCTATTAGGGTTGCACCATGGAAACTCCCTGGGGAAGTGGAACGGGTCAAAACACTCAAAAATAGCTCATTTACCTTGAGAGCCTTATTAGGGTTGCTGGAAGTCAGTTCTGACTTGATGGGCACGGAAAGAACATACACGCAAGAAGTCCTACTGCTTGTTTAACCAGCTTCTTAGAAAAGAAGAAACCGTGTTTCATGAGACCCAAGCCCATCTAGGACATCCTTGTGTTCCCGTTCTGGGCAACCAGTTGGGTCATGTTCTTAAGTGGAGGAGCCCTTCCTGATTGTGTTCTCCAGGAGCTGTTATTCAGAGGCTCCCAGCTGCTAAATCCTGGAGGAGATATTATTGCCAACATGACAGCCAGGAATGGATTCGCCCACCCAGAGCTGTAATGTAGGATCGGTTACCCGGGATGTTGAAAATTAGGGTGTGATCAAACAGGGAGTGGTCCCCCCATTTGGTCCAGTTTAAGGATGGGTTGGCTCATTCCTTTTCCTAGCGACCCTACAATATACAGGCAATCATGAACCCGTCCATCCCTGATCCATGCCTACCCACACCTTTTTGAGTCCCTGACAGGGGTTCCTTTTTGTGTGCTTTTGTTTTGTGGAATTGCTCCGTTGTGGTTTGGTTCCAGCACGTGGGACTGCTGAGGTCGAATGAAACATGTTAACTTAAACTCTTACTTGGCTTAAGACACCTGACGATGTTGAGGAATTGAAAACATCCTCCCACTTCAGGGCAGAGGGAGGAGAAAGAGGAGGCAAAGCTTTCTTTTAAAGCACTGGTAGGACAGTGTTGTATTGACTGCTCACTTAGAATTTCTTTTTAGAAAAAATAGAAAGCTTCCTCCCACTTCATAGAGACGACAGGAGAGGGATCTGTTTGTTTTTATTTCCTTTTAAAGGGAAGAAGGGATAAATAGGGTTGCTTGAGGTGTGGTGCAGCTTCCTGCCTGGAAAACCCCCCTTGCATGTGGATGCACAAGGATGGACAGAAAGGACAGAGCACTAGAGTGACCCTGGGCAAGAGCCCATGAGTAGTGGGCTGCTAGTTAGGAGCTGAGGCTGAAGAAGAGAGGGGCCGATTACCTTGGTCTCAGAAAAATCTCCAGCCCTGCTGGCTCTGTGGTGTCGGAGACGTACTATGGGTCCCGCTGTGCTCCCCCACCACTCAACTAAGAAGATGAGGATGCAAAGCATGAGAAGAAGAGGAGGCTTGCCAAAGAGCAGCAGGATCACCAGCACTTCTGAGCCGACTCTACCAGCACCTCCTGGAAAGGCACCAAGTCCAGCTCATGGCAGGGGTGGTTTCTTGCAAAGACTGACAGTGAACTGCTGTGAAAAGCACCTGATTCAATTAAGAGCAATCTGGTCCGGCAACCTGGAGCTAATGGGAGTTATTGGTGGGAGGTGCCCCCCCCCAAGGCCACCGGTTCCATCAGAGGCAGGGGCAGTGGGCCTTGCAACCACCCACCACGGTGCCAAAGTTCCTTTTGCACCCAACCATTGCATGTAGTTTAGGTTAGGGTCCACCTAAGGGTGAGAAACCAGGCAAGCCGTTTTGGGATCAGCAGTAGAGATGGGGATACAAATACAGTGGACCCTTGACTTACAGACAGCTTGACTTACAGACTTATTGAGTTACAGACTTCTCTGGCTGCAAAATTTAGGTTTGACTTGCAGACTGAGATTTGACTTACAGACCAGAAAAAAACCAAAATGGAACAAAAACGGCCTGTTACGGGATTAATGGGTTTTCAATGCACTGTAGGTCAATGGAGACTTGACTTACAGACTTTTTGACTTGAGAACCGCCTTCCAATACGGATTAAGTTCTCAAGACCCCACTGCAGGAAGGGCAGCATCACGAAGTCCATTCCTTCCCCCAGAACCAGCCTGGTCCACTCACCGGGCTCTGCGCAGGGCATGCATCCGTTGGTGGGGACATTGTTCCAATCACAGCAGCAGCCCAGTTGGCTCTTCCGGGCCTTCCCACACAACCGACCGCTGAGCCGGGAGGCTAGGCATCTCACCTCCTCGCAGGAGTGGTTGGCTGAATGGAGAGCCGGGGTAGAGCCGGTCGGGGTGCTTCTACAATTGGCGCGATGTTGCTGATGGAACCTGCACACCATGTGGAGCTCGGCGAATGGACCAGGCTAGTTCTGGAGGGGAAGGAATGGACCTCCGTGGCACCTGTGGTGCCGCGCTTCGTATTTGTAACTCCAGGGATACGAATACAAAGCTCCCGTCTCTAATCACTAGAGAAGACAGACAGGATATAGGTAAAGGTGAAGGTTCCCCGTGACATTTAGTCCAGTCGTGTCCGACGCTAGGGGGCGGCGCTCATCCCTGTCTCCAAGCCATAGAGCCAGTGTTTGTCCGAAGACAGTTTCCGTGGTCACGTGCACAGCGCGACTAGACACGGAACACCGTTACCTTCCCACCGAGGTGGTACCTATTTATCTGCTCACATTTTTACATGCTTTCGAATGGCTAGGTTGGCAGGAACTGGGACAAGCGATGGGAGCTCACTCCATTGCGTGGATTCGATCTCACGACGGCTGGTCTTCCGACCTTGCAGCACAGAGGCTTCTGCGGTTTAACCCGCAGGGCCACCACATCCCAATAGACAGGATATAAACATTAACTAATAATCAATAAGTGCAAGGTGAAGCAGATCTATTTATGTAAATCAACCCCCTCCCTGTTTTAACATCACACAGAAAGCAGGCAGGATGATGTAAGAGCCCCTCACCTCAAAGGAAGGTAAGGCATGTTCAGTAGCTTTCCAGGTCACACTGAACTGTGCCTTCTGTGCCATCCAGAACAAAGAAGAGAAGTCTGCAAATAAGGGAGGTTTGTTTGAACAGGCAGCTTCACCAAATTTGTGGCCTCTAAAAACAGGTCAACATTTTGGCAGCTACTGCTTTGAGCATTTGAGAAGGTTGCGTTGCTCTCGGAAAGGCGGGGAGGCAGAGGAGAGTCTTTCAGAGCGTAAAAAATAGAAATATTTAATTGTAATTGACAGGAATCCTCCACTCAACCTGACTGTGGTCATACCAACGGTGTGGGTCTGGGAGTTGTAGGTAAAATGAAAGTAACTTTTCCAGGGTCTTCTTCCAATAAATGGACTGGCTTGATGGAAAGCAAAAAAAGTGTTCTTATAAACTTGAGGCACGTATGTTATCTAAAAGATCTGTCATGTGAAATAATCCCATTTACTGCCTATTGGCCCTATTAGTGCCTCTAGTAGTATCCAGTTTTCTAAACCAGCTAAAGCAGATCTGAAACATTCTCTTTCCACACAGCAAGAGAATACAAGCAGACACTCTGTGCCATCTAAATATGAGGAAGCTGTTTTGGTTCTAGACCAGAGTCTGATGTCAGTAATGGAAACGGATAAGGGTGAATAAACTGAAACTTACTGTATTTTTCCGTGTATAAAATGACACTTTTCCCTTAAATAATTTGAGAAAAAAATTGAGGGTCATTTTATACATGGAAGGCAGCTCTTTACCACTGCCTTTTGCGAAGGCATGGGGCTTAGCAAAAAGAGAAGTCGTTGCTCCCTTCTTTTTTGCTAAGCTCCATGCCTTCTCAAAAGGCAAGAAAAAGTAGCAGTCATATTCCTTGCCTTTTGCCAAGGCATGGGGCTTAGCAAAAAGGGAGCCCTTTGATCCCCGGTTTTTCTAATTTGGGGTTAGGGAAGGGAGGTTGTTGTCTTATACTTTGGGTCATCTTATAAATGGAAAAATATGGTAATCCAGACAAGATGGAGGAGCTCCTGGTCAGTTGAAAGGCAGATCAAGGAATAGGGATGCAGAGCCCCAGTGTGCAGCTTCAGGGTGCTCATCTCTGAGCCTGGATGCCCAGTTTTCATTGGTAGCTAGGAGTCCATTTGTGACAGTTTCTTGAGCGATCTAGTCTGGCTACTGTGTTCCATCTTGGATGCATTACTGTAACGCACTACTTAAAAACCTGCCTCTGGATAGTGTCAGGAAACTTCAGTAGATCCATAACATGCCAGCCAGATTGTGGACTGGGGTTGGTTACAGGGCTCACACAATCCCTGTTAAAGCAGATCCACTGGCTGCCAATCCGTTTCCGAGCACAATTCAAAGTCCTGATTCTAACCTATGAAGCCTCAAGCAGCTTGGGTCCAAGCTGTATCCCTTTATGAACCTGCCCCAATGTTAAGATCATCAGAATAGGCCTTTCTTTCAGTCCCACGTCCTTCACAGGTGCATCTAATGGGGAGACAGGAGAGGGGCCTTCTCTGTGGCTGCTCCCAGACTCTGGAACTCCCTCCCACTGGAGGCCAGCCTGGTTCCCTCTTTGCTGTCCTTCTGCAAGCAGGCAAAGACCTTTCTCTTCAGGCAAGCTTTCCCTTAATAACTGGCTGCCCGAGTGGGGTTGTTAAATAGCTGTTTGTGCCTTATAGCTTTGAATGTATTTCTGGTATTGCTTTTGTTTACCATTTCTTAAGAGTTGCATTTGTTTGGTCCTTTTTAGTACTGTGCACTTATTGCTTTCAGCTTTAAATATTGCCTTCGCTTTTGTTTACCATTTCTTAAGAGTTGTATTTGTTTGGTCCTTTTTAGTATTGTGCACTTATTGCTTTTAGCTTTAAATATTGCCTTTTAATGATGTAAGCCACCATGGGTCCTTTTAAAGGAAAAAAAATGGGGTAAAATATTTTAAATAAAATAATAGAAGGAAATAAATACTTATTCATAACTTTAATGACTGAGATTATAGTCCATGTTTGGACACAGCATTGTGCCCCAACCGCTGACATAATGTGTTCTGTGCAAGTTCCCCACACAAGAGCATGGGTAGGCGAAGAGACGGGTACCTAAACAAGGTAGCATGAGATAGCAGCCTCTTGCCACGTCTTCAGCGAATTGGATGAAACTCCTCCAAGACTTCTGCCATGTATCTCTTCTCTATCAAAAGAAGAAGAAAAGGCTGTTAAGAAAGCCAGCTGATACACAAACATTCACACACAAAAAGTTTTCATAATCCTCTACACAACATTGATGCCAACTCCAAAGAATCACACAAACAACAGAAAACGGCCCTCGGGTATGCTGAGGCTTTCCAGATACATTTCAAGACACCTCTCATACACCCCTGGCAGCACAAGTCATTCTTTCTGCCAGACAAAAGCTGGGATTTTCATGGCTATATCCATTTACATAAATCAGAGTGATGAGAGTTTTCTCTGTAAGAGGTTCACTCAGTCGCTATTCAAGGAAGGCACCCGTTTCAAATTCAGATTACCTCACAACAATCCGATCCCTTTACCTTGTCATTGATATCTTTTAACTCAGTGCATCCATGCACACCTGAATCCTCTGCACCCCCTTGTGGTATTTTCATGGTCTGGAACAGGCTTCTTAAAAAGCCTACATTATGTCACCTGCCAGTAAGCAAGGTTTGCTTCTAGAAGAGCGTCAGGGGAGGGTACCAGACTCAACAGAGTTGTCAGCCAAAGGAAGGAATGCTGATTGATGGGGCCATGACACTTAACGCAGTCATCCTTTCATCTGTTAAGATTGCACATTTTCAGATCTCCAACAGAACTGCATTTTCTCATAGCCTGAAGGCTATCTGAGAAAACTCCTGATTCAACAAGCAAAGAGGTGACCATCTCTGTTAGGCCATTTTGCCCAAGACACTTACATGACTAGAACACACACAAAAGGTCCGTTCAATCAACACAAAAGGTTTGTCCAATCAATCAGCCAACCAGCCAGCCAACCAACCAACCATCTCTTGATTAAACCAGGTAAAAAGTGTGTTTCATGCCTAATTAATCTCTATTTATGTAACAGATGTGTGCCCAAAATAAGTGCATTTCAGCCAGAGATTTTTGGCTTGCTAGCAACTTCTGGAGTTGATTCTGTTCCTGTAGTTGCTGATGGATATCCTTCTGCTATATATCCCCAGTATCTGTCTCAGTGCTTGAACTAGATGTTACTGTACGTCTCACAGGGCATGGGGCGCTTCTGGAAAATAATGTTTTAGAAACCACATCTACTTCATGCTGAAAATGCAGCTGGCTAAAAGCGAAAATCTGTAAGCCCAACAAGTTTAATGTTGTGGAGAAATTTCTGGCAAAAAGCACAGCAGTTTCTCAAGATGCCAGCTTTGAAACATGGATTACGAAGCTGGCTTTTTGAGGCACTCACAACAGGTAGAACGAAACCACAATCTTTGGCCTGGACCACATTAGAAGGCAGGTTCCAGGAAAAAAACAATGCTAAAAGCAACTAAGCTTAATCTCCTGAATGTATGTGAGTATGTTCTGGGTTCATTACTGGCTGTTCCTCTCCTTGCAACAAAAATGATGAGGCAGAATTTTGAATAAATGAATTTTCATTGTTAACACCAACTGAGTCCTTTTGCTTACTTCACTGGAACAACAAATAGATAATTGGGGAGGGGATTTCTCCTACAACCATAACAAAGAATTTTCATCGTCAACGTCTTTTAACAACAAGTTTTTCTCTCTTACTCTTGCCTGGTTACTTCCTTCAAACGCTGGTTGTGCCCCATACACAGTGTCCCGCAACACGGGTGACGAGCCCACTCTCCTCCTAACGGTTGCTCTGTCACCATCGTCAGGTCTACTGCGTGTGCTGGGCCGTCCGGACTGGGAATCCTGGGTTAGACTAAGAGGGGACTCAATCCAGGGATAATCGGGCGGTAACTTGCTTTAGAGGAGGTCCCCTCTCCTGGGTCCTCTACTCTCTCAGCCACTCTCTTTCGCGGCACTGAGAAAACATGTCCTGTTTCTCCTATTCCTTTTGTCCCCTGTTCTGCATACACAATCACTTTCTCGGTTTCGGTAGAAGATTCTCCTATCTCTGTTGTCAAAAATACATCTACTCTCTCCCTGTCCTATCTCTTCCTCCTCTCTTCCCTCAGTCTCCAACTGGGGGTGGGAAGTAATCAGGCCAGCTATCTTTGCCGGGGAGGCTTCATATCCGTATATAAATACAAAGCCCCTAGCTCTACTCTTGAGTTGCCTGCTGACTCCCTTGAAGGTCATGCCTTTAATCTGAAAACACTGACCTGAAATCTGGCATGTGGTTGCATGGGACACATAATAGCCATAATGGGCCAAAACCCCATTGTGTTCTTACACCAGCATAACACCATCAAGTATAAATCTCGGCCATGAATTAACTGAAGCTAAGAACTCAGACTAGGCATTTGCTGTTGAGCATCAACTGGTTGCACCACAGGGAATGTCTATGCTGATTCCTTCATTTGCAGCAATTTACCGCTGAGATTTACCCCCTGTCTTCTTATCCTAACAGGCATAACAAACGGGATACTGGCCAACGTGAAAGGCACAATGGCATGGCATGGGTCTGTTTTAAAATTAGCTTTGGGAACATCTAACGACAGTGGTCTGATGGGAATGACAAAACTGCTCTTAGGACTTGTTTTACATAGAACTCGATCCTGGTTGGAACCTCAGATCTTCAACTGAAGCCTCACCGCTTGTCCTACCACCCTGAGCGATCCGGGTGGTGAACCCACGAGGCTGGGCTCTCTTCGTATCCGCGGTTCAATTCTGAAACTTCTCGAAAAGGAAAACCAGGCTAGCTCAATCCTTCTCAAGTTTCCCACATCCAGCCAAAGGAGTTTTATTTGGTCTGTCCTTTGGCAATTAAGATGGTTTTCAGTCTGTTTTTAAACAACGTCTGTTCTGGTTCTGTTTTCTAGGGTGATTTTACTGTACTTTTTCGAAACCTGGTAGGCCGAAAAGCAATTCGTGAAATGCTCTTAATAAAAAAATAGATGCCAGCTCCTGGACTTTTTACATTCAACCTCAAAAGAGTTTCCTGACAGCAGCTACTCTTCTCCATTCCTCAGAAAGAAAACTTAGATTTAGTCGGGTATTCTGTGTGAGGCCAAAAACAGGAGGATTCCCTCATGCAGCTTGATTTTAAAAACATCTCCCCCAGGCAATTCTGGCACTGAATGTTTTTTGGGATATTTTATGTTCCTATTGGATGGAATTCTATAGTACATACGATTAACATTAAGATTAGAGGAATGGTAAAATGTACATTATCTACAGATCAGCATCTACTACGGGTTCCTTTAATCAAAACTTGAAAATATTAAATTAAAAAAAATCTATTTTGTATTTACCAGAATGAGCCACTAGAGGGAGCCAGAGAGAATGCTGTGTATTGTTTGCTACTTCCATGTTTTTGGCATCTGCAGAGGCAAGGGGGCCTTGGAACTGATGCCTCACGGATACTGTGGCCCCACTGTACATCTTTTATTTCCTGAATCTGAAGAGAATCCTAACAACCCTCTTTCTGCCCTGACTGCCAAGGATTAAACAAAACAAAACAAAACTCTGTACAGTACTTATTTATTTTGTCCCAAAACACTACACTGCCTGGAACAAAAGCAAAAATGCATTGTCCATTTTTTTCTTTTTTACTCTAAAAATAAACACAACACAACCAAGCCTGTAAACCAGTGCTTCCCAACCATGCGTCCCCAGATGTTCTTGGAATGCAACTCCCATAAACCCTGGCCAGCACAGCAAGTGGTGAAGGCTTCTGAGACTTGCAGTCCAGGAACATCTGGGTGACCAAAGGTTGGGAACTACTGGCTGAAGAGGGTAAGTGGCTGAAACTTGACTCTGAGGGACGAAAATGTCCCTTCCTGTGGCAACAGAATTAAAGCTATATTTATTAAGACTAAGGCAACAATCATACCCAAAGGAAGACAATAGCACGTGCAACATTTTAGTTGCTAATTCTCTGCTCCCTTACCTCCTGAATGGATCGTGTTCCTAACAGATAAAAAGGAATTCAAGATGGGCATGAACCTTGGTTCGTGCCAGTTCATATACATGGCACCATAGGTGCCACACTTTCCCTTCCCCTGCCTCCCCAGCCAAACGTCACCAGTCAGAGAGCACTCCTCTCCTCTTTGGCTGTTCCACCAGCCCCTGTCCGGCCTCCTTGTCTGAGTGGGTGATCAGCCTACTGGAAACTGGTCCAACAGCTGAAAAGGAGGAGGAGAGGAGCATGCGCCAGCTGGTGAGTGGGGGGATCCAGCTGGGGAGGCAGGGGGTCAAAACAGGTGGCATCTTTGGTAGACCTTTGGTCCAGATGGGCGGGAGAGAAATCCAATCAATCAATCCATCTATCCATCCATCAATCAATACAAACTGGCAGAAACTTCCGACCCGAGACTCGTGCCCATCTCTAAAAAGGATTAATTAAACCCAACCTGAAATATTCTTCCAGACATTTCCTTGTTATTTAAGGGGAAGGGGAAAAACACCAATAAAAACCAAAGTCACACCAGGGCCAACCAGATGCCTTTGTGCAATCCACATGGAGGACATGAACAAAGGATCCTTTCCATTGAGCCATTATTTGCATTATTTGCACATAAAAGTACCCGGTTCCTGGAAGTCTTCTGGGTGATGCCTTCTGTACTCCATCATATCTCTTTCCTTCTTGGCATAAAACCAGTCGGATCGCTTCCTTAAGTAATATCCAATGCCAAAGCCCGCTGACGCCCAAAGGATTTGCCGGTGGACCCCTACACAAAACAACAACAAAAGGGTGAAGATCTCTGTGCACTGCATTTCCAGTGTTCTGCTCTTTTTATTTCTACAAAAACCTGGGCTTTAGAAGGGATGGACTGAGCGCCGTTGAACGCATCCCTAAACAGTGCCACAGAACACCAAAGCTGTGACGGCTAGCATCCCTATAAGGATCATGGATTGGCCTTTTCTCCCGAGTATACTTCCCCACAATCAGATTCTAGCTGTCTCATGGGCAAGGTGAAGTAAGTTACTTGCTAGATCACTGAAATGGAAATGTCAGACAGAGAACTTGAACCCCCATTCATGCAGAGCATGTGACCACTGGTAACGGCACAGCTAAAAAAAATCTTGTAAATAAATAAAATTTAAAAATAACTGAATTAAGGCCCACAGCATTGGGGGGGCAAGGAAATCAATTTTTGGGGGGCCAACATTCCCAGCAGTCATCCTGAGTAAAGGATTCTGGGAGATGTAGTCCAAGTAACCTTCCTAAGGTCCTGCTGTTCAGCATCTCTATTGTTTTTCTTCCCACTCCTCCATACTGGCTTCCTTTCGTCTTCCCCCTAAGACCTCATAACAACCCTAAATGGTATTTAGATTTATGATGATATTGGTTTGGTTATTTCTGATTGTATATTGCAATTTAGATTTTTGTAGAACCATTATGCCTGATTTTTTAATTTTTTTTTTACTGTTATTGTTTCATTATGTTGTAAACTGCCCAGAGTGGCCTTGCAGCCAGATGGGCGGTTATAGAAATCGAAATAAACCAACCAACCCTATTCCTTTTCCTTTGCTGATTCCCAAACCCATGGCCTACCTGTCGGGCATTCTCTCCCCAAGCTGGATAATCTTGGGAATTTGGAAGCAAATAACCATTCGCCACCCGCTTGGAAAGAAAATGCCGTTTTCCTAGGGAATCTCCAAATTTTTTATTTTTAAAATCTTTTTTCATTTGCAGCCCTATCTACCCCAGAGGGCACTTATCAAAGCCTCCTCGCCTTTCTTCCCGCACCTCACCTTGCCCACAGTTTTCTGGAATACGGCTCATAGAGTCCACCCCCACCCCCCGCCTCAAATCTCGAAGGGCTGCCTCTGACCATGTACAGAGTATTCCGACCTAACGGCTGTGGGTGGACGCTCACCGCCGCCGGGCACTGAGCGGGCGAGCAGAAGCCACAGCCCGGCTACCTGACCTCGCTGGAGCCCCCTCACAGACACACAGCCCCAGGGACCGTTAAGGGATCCCCCCCGCCTCACCTGCCCCCAGGAGGGGTCTCTTGCAGAGGGCGTTATAAAGCACGGCGCCAAGCCAGCCTTCCAGGGCCAAGGTCGCCGTGCACCAGTTGAACAACGGCTGAGGCGGCAGCGACCTCACTTCGTCGGGGATCCGGAGGGTGAACACCATGGCGACGGTCGCCCAGCCAGAAAGGGGATCCCTGCCTGCCCCCCTCCTCCTCAATACCGGCGGGAGATGGAGACCCGGAACTCCCGGCCAAGGGCAACGAGCGGTCCGTCTCCGAACATCGTCCCCGCCGAGGGCGCACGCCCCGCCGCGCGAAGGTTCCGGGGCTCTTTCCGCCCCGCCGCCGAAGGGAAGGCGGAGGCCGAGAGGGGCGAAGCGAGGCGAGGCGGGCTTGGCCCGGAGGGGGCTTCGGAGGAAGGGAGGGAGGGAGAGAGAGGAGGGAGTCCTGCCGAGAGGCTGGAAGCTGGTGGACAGTGGGTTGGATGGAAGTGCCTGCAAACCGCCCAGAAGAGTGCTTTGGCACGAGTAGGGCGCCCTATCAATCGATCGATCGATCAATCACTCACCTCCGTCGATTTCTATAACCGCCCATCTGGCTGCAAGGCCACTCAGGGCAGTTTACAACATAATGAAACAACAGAACAGTACCGGAGGGGGCTTCGTAGGAAGGAAGGAGGGAGGGAGAGAGAGAGGGAGGGAGGGAGAGAGAGAGAGAGGCAGTCCTGCCGAGAGCCTGGAAGCTGGCGGACAGTGGGTTGGTTGGAAGTGCCTGCAAACCACCCAGAAGAGTGCTTTGGAACGAATGGAGGGGATAATTCTAAAATGGATGGTCCAAGCCAGTCATGTTGCCCAAACTTCTGGAGAAAAAGCTTTGGCTCCTAAATTGCTGAAAATGCCACCCTTTTTCTCTTGCTTGAGTACTAGGCAGGAATCGAACCAGCGGTGGGGACACGGAGGGCCTTCTCTGCGGCTGCTCCCAGACACTTGAACTTCTGGAGAACAAGCTTTGCCTCCTAAGTTGCTGAGAAGAAAGGCCACCCTTTTCCCTCTTGCTTGAGCAAGTGTGCACCAGGCAGGAATCAAACCAGCGGCGGGGACATGGGGGAGGGCTTTCTCTGTAGCCGCTCCGACGTTGGAACTCCCTCCCACTGGAGGCCAGGCTGCCCTTCCACAATCAGGCAGAGAGACCTTTCTTTTCATGCAAGCTTTTCCCGAGTGGCTGGCTGGCTGCCCGACTGGGGTTTCGACATGCGGTTGTGCCTAACTGCTTTGAATGTAGGAGCCATTTTAGTCTGTGCAAGCATTATCAGGCAACATCCAATGGAAAAAAACCCAAAAGGACAGAAACATGTGACACCTTAAATACTTACTGTACAGTGTACAGTATTTGGTTTTGTTTCTTTGGATGTTGCCTGATATGCTTTGAAGGTGTTCTTAGTGTTGCTTTTGTTTATTGTCTTTTAGTGCGGTATTTGTTTCATTCTTTTTAGTATTTGTACTTAGTTTTTAGCTTTAAATATGTTTTAATGATGTAAGCTGCCTTGGCTGGTAAAATATTTTAAATAGAGCCTCTTCAACTTTGACTATTTAAAAATATTCTTTAAAAATCTTTTAAATAAATAAAATAAATTTAATAAGTGTAACACTTTTGCAATAGGATCATTTGAGTAGTGAATCCATCACCAGCCCACTTCTCCCGAGCCTTCCAACTGGAGAGGTCAGTTACACTGGATAGGTGCAATGGATGCAAGAGGTAACCACAGGGGAAGAAACATGTATGTCAACACATTTGTTCCCAATCACCTCACTTCTGCCCTGTGAAGCCCATTATGCTTGGTTTCAGAAGCATATGAACAGTGATATTGGCCAAAGCATAAAAAAAGCAAAGTGTGATGCTTATATACCACCTTACAGAACTTGAAGCACTCTCTGGGTAGTTTACAAATTAGTTATGCAGATTACATACTGTCTCTGCCTGCACAAAGCTGGGTTGTCAATTTACCAACCTTGGAAGAACAGAAGGCAGAGCAAACCTTGAGCCACCTACCTGAGATTGAATCCGGGTCTTGAAGAGTTTTGGTTGCAGTACTGTAGTTTAACCACCACCCCACAAGGCTCCTGACCAGATGATAGCTACTGATGACACTGTCACAAGACCTAGAAAGATGCTAGTGTACCATCTTGTCAGGCTTCTTAGGGTAAACTTCAGTTGCTATAGCTTGGTGATGCAGCCAAGCTGCTTGAACTAGTTCATTATTGTATCACAGGTAAGCTTGCTCATTAACCGTCTTGGCCGATATGACTGAGTAGAGGATGGACTGATTGGGTGGGTCCAGAAAGTGGTAAAAATGCCACCTGATGTAAAATTACATCAGGAGGGATGTACTTTAAATGCAGTGGCAATGCACTTTTCCCTGAAAAAGACCTCTATGGACCCAGAGGTCTGTGAAAACAACCACCCTATGGCAAATACTGGAACTGCTAGATTAAATCAAGCCTGGAATCTCTTTATAAGCAAACATGACTACAATGAGGCTATCCTACTCTGGGCACATCTGCAAAAATAAAAAAGGCTTACTGAAAAAGATAATATTGGGAAAAGTTGAAGGCAGCAGGAAAAGACAAATTATGAAATGGGAATGGTAAACCACTTCTAAATAGCCTCTACCTGGGAAACTCTGAAAAAGGGTCACCATAAGCCTGAATTGACTTGATAACACATATTCATTATTATTAAGGTGCAGAGCTTTTCAAGAGAGACAGCAACTGTACAGCATCCCTTCCCATCTGGGCTTCAACATTATGTGCATTCAGGCAGAAGAGGAAAACCTCTGTCAGAAATCTCTGGAAGTATTCTGATATTTGATCTGCATTTTCTTTTCTGGGCTAATGGTTCCTGCTAGTTTTTTTTAACCTTCGCTTCCATGGGAAGCTGAAAACAGCTGTTTGCCATCACATGGCATTTAACAGAATAATACAGGTACGCATAAGCAGTGCAAAAATCACAACAGCCCTTCAAAGACCTGTACACTATAGGCCAACAGGTCTAACAGTCTTACAAACATATAGACAGAAACACATCCAGCTAAAATGATCTCTTAACAAGTCAGTATGTATACAAAAATGAGCAATTTATTTACATCTTTCTTTATGCATGATTGTACTCAAGTTTCTTTTCTTGGGACCCATGGTCTTATAAACCTTATAAGCAAGCCTAGACCCATCCAGTCCAATCAATCGTAGTTGAAGTGACTCAACCAGAAGATTTCAAAAAGCCAGATTCCATTTTTAAAAATCTAATTAGAAGTCATTTGTAAACAGCTCCCCTCTCCAACAGACTTTGTCCTTCCCATACTGGACATTTCCCCAATATCTTTAAGTGTATGTCCAAACCACTTTGTTGCTTCACAGATTTAAAAAAAAACCCTAGTGAGGAAATTTCTGGAGCAGGAGGCAGCATCCACTAGCATTCAGGGCACAGCCTCCACTTTGTTAATTTTCTGGAAGAGTTCGTAGGGTTTTAGTCCACTGTAAACCTTATTCTTCTTTTCGTTTGACAGCTGGTGGTCCCATGAAAACAGACACATACAGTTTGAGCCAAGCGTACATGATGCCTAGTGCACAATATACAGAGGTGAGCATTAAAGGGAGGAAAGGAAACTTTGGCATCCAGGCTGTGAAAGGAAATACGATTTCACAGAAGATTTCTAGAGGTATCAGCCCAGTGAGGTAGATTGTTTCCAGCCAGTTAAGCAGGGGCCCTTGCTTCCTATTGAGAGAGAGAAAAAAGAATTGTAATGTTAAGGATTTTGTGGCGTATTCGTTTAAAAAGTTGCTGGTTTCTAAAGGCACTCCCATGTTTGGGAAAAGTGGGCAAACATTTTATTGGGATGGCAGCCACTAAATGCAACTGCAGGCCAGGAGCTGCAGTCTAAAATGAAAAGATGATAAATAGGCCCCATTCTGCAAATCTAAAGAATCTCAAGAAGAATTACTGTGGTAGTGAATAAGGGACTGAGAGCCACTTGAAGCCCAAAGGCCTGTCTTTGGAAAAAAAAAAAAAAAACATTGGAAGCAGACCACAGAAGAATGACATTTCGAAAGAATGAATGCTTTTAAAAAAAATGTAACAAGCCATTGTATCAGTTTTAAAACAATTTGGGAGTCTCCAGGTTTCTCTAATGACGTGCTAACCATAAAGAGCCAAAGGTTCTAGTTCCAATTTACAGGTGAAGGAAAAGTGGGCAAACATTTTATTGGGATGGCAGCCAGGAGCTGCAGTCTAAAATGAAAAGATGACACATAGGCCCCATTCTGCAAATCTAAAGAATCTCAAGAAGAACTGCTGTGGTAGTGAATAAGGGACTGAGAGCCACTTGAAGCCCAAAGGCCTGTCTTTGGAAAAAAAAAAAAAGACATTGGAAGCAGACCACAGAAGGATGAAATTTCGAAAGAATGAATGCTTTTTTTTAAAAAAATATATAACAAGCTATTGTATCAGTTTTAAAACAATTTGGGAGTCTCCAGGTTTCTCTAATGACGTGCTAACCATAAAGAGCCAAAGGTTCTAGTTCCAATTTACAGGTGAATTCCCTCAGCTCATGCACAGCGAGGCTGGTAGAGGCCCTAAGCATCTACAATATCAGGGGGAAAGGATGGTGCACACACAGAGACACATTGAAGGGTCAAGAAAGATTCTCTCCCCCTGCCCTCTGCATCTACAATTCAGACAGGCGCCTCCATGCCCATCTCTAGCTGTGAACCAGTAACACTTTGTGAGGAATGACATGGTAGGAAGGAATTTTCTTCTTGGCAAGATAAGCTTGGGGTGTGCACGTTTATGTTTGCAGATGACAGACGCAAAAACCAAGACTCATATGGAATTATTTGCTCTAGCATCACCTTTCCATGTTTACTTTTTGCATAGAATCAATCATTAACAGACCATTTTCCTTTGTCTCCTTAACTTGGAATTATTTTAATCTCCAATTGCAATGACAGTATTTTCTGTATTAATGTTGCAGAGTAAAATCCTAGCGCAAAACATTCCAGTCAACATATGACCTTATACTTAGATGGCAGTCCCGTGCAAATGTAACTTTAAGGCCTGCTGCACGCAGCAGGACTTATTTGTGAGAGAATGGGCACGGAGCTAGGTCATAAGGTTAAAACCATCACCCCACTGAGTTTCAACAGTTTGTGCTGCATCCACCATTTCATTACAGGTGCAATCCTAAAGCACTTAACAGAAAGGAAACCCCACTGAGCACACCAGATCTATTTCTCAGGAAACATGCAGAAGACTGAGTTGCACACATGGAATCCTACTCTGAAGGAGGTCCGAGAGAACTCAATGATGTTTCTAAGTAAACAGCCATAGGATGGCACAGTTGATTCTCCTAGCATTCTAGAGAAGAGTGTTCTCTTTTTCGACAGCCAATTTACTCTGTCTTTACCTGAATACGGCCTTCAAAGAGGAGAAGCTGTAGACTGTGAACAGCAGCATGAGCAGTATTTTAACCGGCAGTTCTGAAACAAAAGAAAAGATTTGTTGTAGAAGGGGTAGCCACGTTAGTCCACAAAAGCTCAAATTAAAATATATATATAAAAGTCAGTCTTTAAGGCGTCACCGTGTTTTTGTCTTTTTAAACTTTTTATTTCTATTTCCCTTTTATCTAAGCACCAACTTACAATGTGCATACTGACTAAAGCAACAGTGCTGAAGGGGGGGGGAGCACACAATTCTCTCTTTAATAGCCACCCACATGTCATTTCAAGGCACTTACTGAGAAGACACTTGCTTTCTAAGATTTATATTTTTAAAAAACACCTTTTTAAAAATATAAGTGTTTCCTGATTAATCTGTTTTATTAAAAAGCTTTTTGTCAATTAAAGCTTATCCTAATTTACAGATTTCAATGCACTTCACATAGATTATGTCAGCAATTCTTACAATAACCCTGTAAAGTATGTCCATTTTGTTACCTCTCTATTGGAAAAGAGGGACTACTGTAAGTTTAAGAGAAAGAAGTAAGGGGAGGATGGAGAATTAAGAACTTCCTGATCTATAGCCTGCCCTCTTAGCCACTATGCTACCAGTTTATTGAAAGCATACCAGAAGTACAAATAATCGAAAAGGGCATATTTAACACCAAGGAAGACCAATGCCAATGTTTTTAGAATACAGTTGTGAAAACCCTTTTGTCATTTCAGAGCTAGAGAAGCAGAAACCCCATGGAAAGAAATTTCTCCCTTGACTGCATTAGCAAGAAGCAACACAAGATGGAAGAAATGCCACAGGATGAGGTGGGATGTCCTCAAATTAGTTATCACTTCAGTTACAAACTCTTACAGCAGTCTTAGCCACACCACTGGGTCCCCCCCTTCCGTTACTTTATGGTCTGCCTTACAGTGCTTTGCAAAACAGAGTCACACACCCCATATACAAATCCAAAAACAGAGCTGGCTACTACCTCTACTGAAATATCGAAAGGCAGCAAAATTTCAAGCCAGGTAGGAGCATTCTCCAGGCTGGGCACTGCAGAGCTTAGCACCGGGGGAGTAACAAAAGGATTAGAAAACATCATGGCTAGATGTTGAAGCTGTACACTCTACAGCAGGGGTCTCAAACATGCGGCCCGGGGGCCATTTGCAGCCCGCCAGATGATAGTTTGTGGCCCCCGACTTGCCTGCCCCCCTGAAGCACCCACGTGGCATCTGCTGTCAAAAGTCAAAAAAGCCTCGTGTCATCTGCTGTCAAAAGTCAAAAAAGCCTCGCTCGCTGGCTGTCTCCCAAGACAGCTCGCACACCCCTCCTCCTCCTCCTCCTCAGAGCCCCAGCCGGGCTAAGGGAACTCCTGGCAGCTTCCTCGGGCTCTTGCTGCACTTGGCAGAAAATCCGATGCGGTCCAGCCTCAGCCAGACTCTGCTTCCAGCGGCCCCCAGGTAAATTGAGTTTGAGACCCCTGCTCTACAGTTAAGTAAAGGCAGAGACTGCAAATCTAAAGAACCAGCTTGTGGTGTGATACCAGGCTTCGCTGTATGAGATGCAGAATCAGTGGTCTTTCTCCATGCCCGTAGGTATTTTATATCCCCTGGGGCTTCCTCAGTGAATTCTCTATTGCCTTTAACTGCAGCACATGGCTGCTTTGATTGCATGGAACTCTGTTAATGCTTTCCCTTGAATGAATGCACTTATGGCTCTTTTTTAGATCTCCTTTGGCAAACTGGAAGGTCTCCCAGTAGAGGGGGCAGGACTGATGCACACATCCCTGCTTCCTCTACCGGTTTACAGATTATAATCCTGGACAAGGCTCCAGCTTCAGGACCGTTAGGAGAACAAGATAGGGCAGCCCCTTGCTTGCAGTCCTGTAGCAGGTTCTTAAGTAGGTACTTAAGACAAACCAGGTTATCTTTTTTTTTAAATGTACCCTGTTTCAAGAGATCAACCACTACAATTATTGCACCAGTGCTAAATTATTACATCGGCTGAAAGGCAGCCAAGTCAGAAAGTATTTTAGGCAAAAGGTTTAAAAGGCAAACCAAGCAAACCTACCTGGTGCTGTGAACAGCAGCGGAAAAAGGGAAAAATGTCCTGTAGTCGCCAGAACCAGATAGAGGTTAGCTTCTCTTGATCTCTCCACAGAGAGTAAGCTAAACAAAACAAAATAAAAAGATCAAGAGGACTTTTTGGAAAACAGCCACTACCACCCGCCTTACAAAAGGGATAATTTTCTTTCAGTCCTTTCTCAACCCTGCCGCTCACTGACAATGCTATTTGTTCTGGTCAAGGGCGAGTCCTATGGAGTTCAACGGGCTTTACCCTCAGGTAAGCATATGGAGGAACACAAACCCACCCACCTAGCAGTAATGCACCCATTATGTTCCTACAGTGGATGAAAGAATCAGGCCATCGTGGCTTTAAAGCACCTGGCCTGTGCCTCTCCTCCACTGCAAGATGCTGTTTTACATCCCACTTGCTTCTAAGAGTATCACCAGGGCCACGGGCTCTCCCAGTAGGCAGAACGAGGCAGCAGAATTTTGGGAGCAGCAACAGCAGTTCCCCAGGTGTTCTCCCCCCCCCGGCAGGTAGACCTGAGGATGCCACAGGCAGCCCTTAAGGTGGGATAAAGGACATGGGTCCGGGGTCATGGCCAATGCTGAGGTGAAATTCAGTGGTCATTCTAACTCACGTGTATTCTGGAATGCCCCCCAAAGAGTTCTGCTGGAGAAGGCTGGCTTATCAGCCAATTCTCAAATAGTCTGAGCGCTTCTCACTCTCACTCTCATACCTTAAAGGGAGAATGGCAAGGAGGATTGCTTTCTCGTGCACGTGCCAGCCGAACATGAAGGCGCTCAATGCGCAGAGAACCAAGCACCGCAGGAAGCCTCTGGGCCCTTGGGGTTTAAACCAAAGACAGAAAACAGAGGGCTAGAAATGACAGGCAGAAACAAAGCTTCAGTGGGCATTTCAGCATCAAGCACAAAGGTCATCGGGGTAAGGATCTTCTCCATGTTATGCAGGGGGAGCAAGTCATTGGTCACTTCTGGCCTTTATTGATCTCTTCTGCACCATCAGAGAAAGGCTAATTGCTTTCCAGATTTTTGCACAGCTGTGCCATGGAAAGTTTAGCCAGCATGGTTCCCCAACAAGGAACTCTAGGATTAACGTTATGAGAGCATGCCACATAAGCTCCCCAATGTGAATCTTGGTGCTCCATTTGGGCCTCCAACTGGAGGGCTGCACCAAGAATTCCATAAACACCTTCTGATGAGGGACACAATAAGCAAGATCTGGAATGATGCCAATATTTTGCAGGCTGGGGATTTAGTTGTTGTTGTTTACAATACATCAAACTCCGAACCCCTTTCATTCTCCATTGTGCCAGCTCTGTATAGTACTAGGAAAAAGATCACTCAAACTAATACACAAACACCAATCTGGCATGTGGTGCAATACAGTCAACTCAACCACATTTTTCTGCTGCATCAGTAGGTAAGAGCTAATCAAGAATGGAACTCTGACAAACAAAGCAACAATTTCTGCAATTACAGCATAAGAACTACAAACCCACCAAATGTGTCAACTACAGCAGTGATTTCCCATAGTAAACAATCCATTTACTAGGGAAGAAATCTAAGCATACTCTACAGAGCTCTAAGGCGATTGCAGCCCATCTATTTCTGACAACAAAGGTGTATACTCTCAACTAGTCTGCCATGGATTGATTTGGCAGTTGAGGAGATGTCAGCATTTAATAATCCCTAAATCCTTGAAAACAGTCTGATATACAGCAATTTCATGGAAAAGGTTAATTTGGGAGTGGATGAGTTGCTAACTTTTAACTGTTCTCAGATCTTTAAGTGAAGTCTGAGTTACAGAAATTTAAAACATCTAGGATTAAGTCCAACTGTTAGTTCTAGCTAGAGGAGACCCATTGAACAAATGGGATTTAAGTCAACACTTACGTATTTCTCATTGATTTAAGTTGTCTCCTCTAGTTGGTGTTAACAAATGTATTTAGCCCACATCTTCTCAAATTTCTTTAATTCTAGGTCAGGAAAAGCTCGACCTGGTCATTTGCTTTATATTAGACTACAGTTACAGCAGAGGTGGTTCACTAGTGGCCTTCCACAAGTTTGTGGGATACAATCCCCATCGTCCCTCACAGGTCCTATTCAAGTTAAGGTTGATGGGAAATATATTTCAACGGAATGTAAAGAGTCACAAGCTCCTCTCCCCTGCAGCAAAGGATGTCTAGAGCAGGGCCAGCTAAAGACATTATAGACTCGTAAGGCCAGAAAGGACTTCAGAAGTAATAGAGTTAACCTGTTATAAACAAGGTGGTGCTTAAAGGGGAGGGGGCATTTATTTCAGTTGGAGGGCAGTACTGTGCCCACAGTAAATTCAAAACATATCAAAGCTCAGTAGCTAGAAAAAGTTTGGATTTACCAGCATAGAGATGGCAGTACAGGTTAGAGCGGCCAAGGGGGTCACTGAAGGTAGGACGGTGTGCTGAAATTCCTGGACCAGCCCTCCTGTCATGGCAGCTTTGGGAACCTTTGCAGGGCTGAGGAATTCGTATTTCAAGCCTGCAGGCAAAACAACATTTATTTATATGCATAATCACTCTTTCCCTCCTTCTGTCTCTCATGCACAAATATATTTTAGACAAGTTTGCTTGAAACGAAGTCCCCCGATTTGCTTCAATATGACTGATATCCAATTAAAATAATCCTAAAAGTAGCCTCATTGAAGATACTTTGAGACATTTTATTAAAAATACAGTGGCACCTCGACTTACGTCCGTCCCGACATACGACCGTTTTGAGTTGTGACCAGCTCCGGCCGCAAAATTTTGCTTCAACTTGCGGCCTGAACTTCAAGTTGTGATCAGAAGAGGTAGGGCAAAAAAGGCGGGGAATTCAAATTATAGGGCTAACCGCTGGTCAGCGAAGAGCTTCTTTGTAGCGCTTTTGCCCCAACGGTTAGAGAGTGAGTCGGAGGAGGCTTGGACTGTCTGGGGCTGCTTTCTGCTTGTGAGTAAGTACATTTACTTTGTTTTGCAGCGTGGGTTTGGGTCGGGGGATTATGTTTCTGTGCTCTGTGTGTGTTGTTTTTGTGGGTTTTTTCCAACCCCATCACATTCCGATGGGGCTGACTGTGTGTGTGTGGGGTACTTCTTTTAATTTGTTTTTCAGCCCCATCACCTTCCGATGGGGCCAACTTTGGGTTTGTGTGTGTGTGTGATTTTTTTCCTGCTGGAATAGATTAATCCCGTTCCAATGCATTCCTATGGGAACTGGTGCTTTGACTTTCAACCATTTCGAGTTACATCCATCGTCCGGGACAGATTATGGTCGTAAATCGAGGCACCACTGTACTGAAACAGACCTCACTCAGATGTCATCACGCACAGGCAAAACAATGACAAATTGTGTAGCATTAGGTTCCCAAGATAAATCTTTCAACAGAAGCTAACTGGCATGTACATGGGAGAGGCTACAGAAGTCTTTGAAGCCAGTTCTTGGTTTTCACCAAGTTTACAGTAAGTGCTTCAGTAGCACATTTGTAGGTTCTAAAATCTCCATTGTTTTTCACTCTTTCATTTATTTTCCATCCTTCACATCTGAAGGATGGAAAATCCAGGAATACACATTATTATTATAATCCAGGAATACACATACCGAATAAAACATGTTGCTACTAAAGGCACGACAGGAATCTGCTATTTTTTACATTAAAATGAAATGCATGGAAGATAATTGTTGTTTTGTTTTGCTTATTCAGAGCTCAGGCAACCTGACACCACCTCTTTGACCAGTAGCCAAGCTGTCTGGGAATGACAGCAGTTTTAGTTAAAAAACACCTGGAAAGCTGCAGGTAGTTTACTTTGATCAACATAATGCATATTTTCTCGAAGGTTTTCACGGCTGGGATCCGATGGTTGTTGTAGGTTTTTCGGGCTGTCTGGCCGTGTTCTTGAGGTTTTTCTTCCTAATGTTTCGCCAGTCTCGGTGGCCGGCATCTTCAGAGGACAGAAAGTCCTCTGAAGATGTCGGCCACAGAGACTGGTGAAACATTAGGAAGAAAAACCTCAAGAATACGGACAGACAGCCTGAAAAACCTACATCAGCGATAATGCATGTTGTCTCTTCAAGCAGATTTGGAAACAAAACAGGCAGAAGAACAAATATTGACAGAGATAGGATTAAGTACTGTACCAATAATGGAGACAGCTTTATCTACTGCATTGTAGATTGCCCAAAAGTTAGGAGCCCAGTATGCATGACAAAGGCCTCTCTTGAAAGGGAAAAGACGAGACAAGACCTGTGGAAGCTGCCCCTAAACAGGGTGGAGAGAGAGGAAAAAAACAGCAACGCTGTTAACATTCCCATTGAGGACTTTTCATCTATAAGTAATGCTATTAGATTGATGTCACTGATTGTCTCATGTAATACTTCTGTGTTATTTTATTGTATATATGTTATACTGGAAGCCGCCCAGAGTGGTCGTATAGACCAGATGGGCGGGATATAAATCAAATAAATAAATAATTCTGCTCATGGTGTCCTATTCCAGGGTTTCCAAAGTATAAGGAACTCAAAAGGAAGGAGGTGGCTACTTAAAGAAGACAGGGGCCCTTACCCAAGCAATGAATGGTCCCAATGAAAGTGCAGAAACTAAGCAAACAATTAACCCCAGGGCAGTTAAGCGCAGGAAGCTGAAGCTGCGCCACCGAACGGATCCATCTAGGGGGAAAAAAGAGAAGACTTACAATTAATACAGAAAAGAAATGTGGAAGAAATAAGAAATTACTCAGCAACTTGTTTTAACTTTCTTCTAGTTACAGACAAGACACCATGTTGATCTGACCTATCATTCACCACAGGATAAATTATTTTACTATTGCAATGGCCCTGGTGTTCTAGAGCTACAGAGAAAACTGCCAATAATTATGTGTTACATTAAAAACCTTTAGTTATGCAAAACCAAATTAAGCTTCCTACATTAAGGAACAAAAATTAAATTAATATTTGCAGCTTGTTTTCTTCTGGAGATTAAACTTTTCTTTAATATTTGTCTTAGACAAACACTTTTCTCCATTATAACTGCCATCCTAGAACTTCTCAGATTTCTATTAAATCTCTCTCTCTCTATCACACACACACAGAGAGAGAAAAAAGGGGGGGAGGAGAAGCTTATGACTGCCTACTAAGACTCCATTCCATGCACTGAATAAAATGAGCTTCATTCCACAAAAACATCTGCCAAAATAAGTTAAGTCTTTAACATGTCACAACACTGTTGACACAAGACTACTATGGCTACCCCTTCACCTCCAAAATCGAAAGAGTTGTTTCACTGAGCCCTGATGAGGAAAAAAAAAGAATGGTGTAAAGCAACAATAGTGTATTACACCAATAGCACAGGTGTTTGATAACCTCACCCTCAGCCCAAACTAATTTCATTGGAGGATTTTGAGTCATTACAGCCAGTTAGTCTGAGAACACAGATATATACTTTCCTCCCCAACTATTATTGTCCAAATCCAAACAGGTCCCCAAATTAGGAAATTTACAACAACATGCCTGGATTATTTGCTGTGAAGCAGTAAGATCGGAGCAGGTACATGGCATACGCTGGGGCGACATAGAGGTAGATGTGCTTGAGATGCAAGAGGACGGCAAAGAGAAAAGCGCCTTCTAAGTGCCTTTTCTGAAAAGGATGGGAAAGACATAGGCCAGGTGGTTATTTAAAAGGATCAAGGGTCAAAAGCTGACATAAAACAATGGCGTCCAAGGACTACAAAGGAACATCTAACAGCAGTTCCTATCATACCCATGATGGCTAGATGGGTCACCTTCCAAACAAACCGGCTTTGCAGTTGTGGGGCTTCAGAGCACCACCAGGAAATCCCACATCACTGTAGAAAGGGAAGGAGCAATGGAAAGGCTGGCATGTACCCACCCACCCTTTAATCAGTTAATTCTCACCAAGAGTTTATCAAGGAGGTTTAAAACCAGGAACTAGAGATTTCAGGTCTGGAGTGTGATTCCACCTATTCCATTTCCCCTCTAATTGTAGCAGTGAACTCTCAAAAGAAGAAAACAAAAAGCTTTAGAACAAGCATGCTTGTCGCAAAAGGGGTTTTCCCAGGTAGCAAAGCTTAGAGGGGTGGGTTGCATGAAACCTGCATGCTTTCTGCCCCAATTGAAATCTTGTTTTGAATCCTAGCAAGCTTTCCGTTAAGCTGGGCACGCACATGCGCACGGCTACACTTCCCTCCACAGCAGCTCTCTTCCTTCCCCATGCAATGACCATGTTAGGTTCTGGTTGCGAGGGAATTCAGCACAAGGGATGGAATTGTGTGTGCATGCAGGGGCGAAGACGTGTGCAAGAGAGGTGGAGTCCTACCTAGCAGGGTTGAAAATTAGAGAGTACGTTGATCCGGGGCTACGTGGGAACCCTTGTTAGCATTAGCTACTACTAAGGTTGGCACTAAAAGTAATGCTTATGCAGTGTTAAAAGTAAAAGGTCTGTTTCTAAGAATCCAGCATATAATCCTGTTGCCTCCTCTTAATTTCTCACTCAAGGTTGAGGATTATCTCTACACTAATGCTCTGCCTATAGTAGATATTGAGCAGTTCTTGTGCCTTCGGAAAATTTTCATATATTACCTGGAATAGTCGTGCAATAGAAAGGAGCATGAATCCAAACAGGAACCCATTATACTGAAAGTGAATATCTGAAACCAAGTCAAGGAAGCATTTCTGTTTTCCAAAAATACTCTAAACAAGGACACATTTTAAACTGTGTTCATTTCACACTGCTTCCAAACTACATGACTAGCTAAAAATCTAACCAGTAGCTTTTGGCCTTCTACTCTTCAATTGTTTTAAGTCACTGGTTGCTTTAATATATGTTCAAGTGAACTATAATACTTTTAACCCACTCTGTTTTCAGCCATATCTGTTCTTAATCATGGCTCAAGTCGCTCTACTGGAAGAAAAATAGTATGCACACAACAAAATAAAAAGAGCCAGTTGAGTAGATTCAGTTCTCCGTGGAAGTGAACAGATAGTTACACTCACCACCATTATCATATACAGTGAAAACAATAAGATCTGATTTTCTTTGATAACTAAGCCAGAAGGATACGGTCCACAATTAAGAGCCCAAAGTTCCATAACAGAAGAACTGAAAGAACAAAGGGAGGGTTCTCCAGAGGCTCCTTTCCCCCTCGCTTCCAACTGACACACTTACAGCACCTGAAACAAAAGAAAACTTTTAAGGAAGATAAAATTTCTTCTTCTTTTAAGGAAGATAAAAATTCTTCATGGATTGCTGCCTCTTCTTCATGGATTGCTGCCTTGTCGTGGCGAAGGGGCTTGAGTAACTCAGAGAAACTATGGGCTATGCCGTGCAGGGACACCCAAGACGGACAGGACATAGTGGAGAGTTCCGACTAAACGCAATCCACCTGGAGTAGGAAATGGCAAGCCACTCCAGTATCTTTGCCAAGAACGCCCCATGATCAGAAACAAAAGGCTAAAAGATATGACGCTGGAAGATGGGCCCCTCAGGTCGGAAGGCGTCCAACATGCTACTGAGGAAGAGCGGAGGACAAGTACAAGTAGCTCCAGAGCTAATGAAGTGATTGGGCCAAAGCCGAAAGGACTCTCAGCTGTGGACGTGCCTGGAAGTGAAAGGAAAATCCAATGCTGCAAAGAAAAATACTGCATAGGAACCTGGAATGTAAGATCAACCTCTGGAACAGAACAGTGGCATGGCTGGAATAGTTGAGATTTTGAACCATCAGCATCTCTTTGTCAAAATATTTGGCAACATGTGAAAGTGCATACTCGAACCATGCAAAGAAAGGAGGGTAGTCCAAGGTCCACTCAGAGGTTGCCTAAAAAAGATGGAAGAAGAATCTGTATAAGGCAGGAGTCAAGTAGTGCAAGAACTTATAAAGAACTGGCTGGCGCATATTCTCATGGTGACTCAAATATCCAAGTGAGCCCTTGCCTTTAAACAGGCTTTTGGAAAGTAGAAAGCCCTCCCCCCATTACTAAAATCTCTTATTCTCCTTACATCCCTTTCAGTCTATGAACAATACAAACATAAGCATAAGGACAAAAGGAAATGGGTGAGCATACGTCCTACATCAGGCCAGAAAACTACTCCCATCACCCTTTGTCATCATCATCAGGCTGGCTGAGGGGAACTGGATTTCACCAGCAATCAGAGGGTCACAAATTCTTGTTTTTCACTTGGACAAGAGACTCCCTGAACCTAAGAATTGTGGATTCCACAATCCTGCTATGTAGCAACAGGCCCAGGGTACAGCTCAGTGTAAATCTTGAGCATTCAATTAACTTTCTTGCCCTCACGGCTATGAGAAGCTTGACAGTGTGCAGCAACGGCCTGCTGAAACAAAACATCAGACGGAAATGGAGCAGAGTTTCCAGTTTTGAATCAGTGCTTTGCCCCTTTACATGATGGCCAGAAAAAGAAAAATGTGCAATATATCGCTGCATTTGTGTTTTAAAAAATTAGCAGCCTAATTTGAGTAACATTAGTGAAAATTTTTGTCTTAGTTGGTAGAGTACTGTTTAGGATCTAGGAATTCTGGGTTCAAAGCCAACAGTCAGAACAAGAACTGCATTACTTAAATTACATTTACTTAACAAATTATTTATTATGATGCAGAAGAGTTGCCTTTATCACTTTCACTTGGTCCATATAATTGATATAATCCCAATGTTCCACCCTAACATCTTTTCGAGTGGACACCCTGCATTCTCAAAATTCCAGCTATGATAAGAACTGGAAGCTAGCTGATTATAAAAGGAAAAGTTCAGAATACAAAATGTATTGGGGTCACCAGATTCTTTGCAAAGTGTCATATTCTGCTACTAGGAAAAAAAATCTGAATGTATCATGAAACACATCAAGCAGATGTCAGGGTGGGATTGTTTGTTTAATGTTCAAAGGGGAACGATCTGGATCAGTTAACTGTTCTAAACCAGACAGAGACCTTCGCTTTACTCTAGGAAAGCTGAAAGAGCAGACAGAAGACTATACATCTGTCTGCACTAGATTCAGCTTCCTCAACAAACAGCAGACCTCTAAGCAAGCACAAACTCTGGTAGACCAGATACTCATTCAGCAAGCAAAACGCCCGATTCAGATCTTTCGCCTACTAGTGCCAAGAAGGTTGTTGCACAATAAAGATGTAGATCACCAGCAACAGAACCAGGAAGGTGCCTGTCATGCTTTACTGTGTTCGAATTCAGGCAGGGATATTACAGATGTTGGCACAGATTCATCCCCATTGCTAATTCTAACCCAGAACAAGGCCCCAACCATTGTTTTATCGAAGCAGTGAAATCGAAAATATGACTTTAAAGTAAACATACACTTTTAGTGACAATTATAAGTGAAACAAGAAAAGGTGGAAAATGAGTCACTAATTATCAAAGAATGTGTTTCTAATTTTAAGAACACTTTTAAACAGGGGTTTGGAGGTCATTTGGTGATTCATCGTACCCAGTCCCTGCACAGCTCTTACAAAGTTCACACAAAGCACCCCTGGGTGGGGCAAGCAGGGAGTCTAGGTTCCACAAAAGGAACATGGTTTAAAAGGCATGCTAGTGCCTAGAACTTCAAATATAACTTTACTCGATTGTTCTAAGAACCGCAAATGCTTCTGTGCAACACAACACGATGCACACACTTACCTCATAATACCACTGAGAGACTGGCAAGCTATAGGTGATGGCAAGCCAATTTCTGTGTACTTCAAAATCTGTGGAGTGACTACAAGAAGTGATTTATTAGTATTTCTATATAGAAATTTCACATAACACTGTTATTTGCACTGTATTTTACTGTAAAACAGCAGTATATACGAGACTGGAAATAAATACTCTGTTATACACCTAAAAGACCACACAATTTCACAGATGCACTCATATATTAACCTAATTAGATCTATTTATTTATTAAAATTACTTTATCCCACATGTCTCCTTAAAAGTAACCAAGGCGACTTACATTAGTAAAAAGACAATATTTAAAAGGTAGAAACAGTAAGTATACAGATATCTGAAAAGAATTAAACAAGTATTATATTAAATATGGTAAATAAAATCAATAGTAAAACGAATTTAAAAGCAAAAGAGCACAATAATCCACTTTAAAAACTCCTCCCAGACCACAAAGTCACTAAGGAAAAGCCTGCCTGAAGAGAAAAGTCTTTGCCTGCTTGTGGAAGGACGGCAAAGATGGGGCCAGTTTGGCTTTCCGTGGGAGGGAGTTTCAGAGTCTTAAGGAGCAGCGGCAGAGAAGGCCTCCCCCGTCCTGTGTCCCCACCCAAGCACACCTGTGAGGGCAGGTTGCAGGGGAAGGAGTGCCTGAGTGTGGAAGGATGCTGTTTCCATGAACTATAACTGGGATAATGCCATTCAGCTTCCTAATTCAAATAATGGAATCAGATTTAAATAAACATATTTTAGATTAAATAAACACATTTTAGCATTTCAGTCACCACAACACTGACCATTCACATTTCCCACTTTAGAAAACTAGGAACTGTGAGGAAAGCACAAAAGAACCAATTCATGCACTATTACACAAACAACTACAGTAAGGGATAGTGACATAGTGGCACTCTACAGGATTGTTAAATGATCTAATGGAAAAGGAAACAGGGTTTGTGTAGTAATGAGATAGAAGAGGCCATTCTGCACCCTGGATGGCCGGGTAAGTGCCACCTGCCAAAATTCCCACTTCTGTATAGCTATGAATGGTTTAGAGACCCCTTTTCTCATAACTATGTGCAACTTTGGGTAAATTTCCTTCAACCACATGTTCAGAAGGCTTGCTGCAAAAACAATCATAAAGGTTTACACACAAAAGGAGGTAACTGCTCTAACGTTATGTTCGATTTTGAGAGCAGATTTCTGCCCGTTAGTTTGGCACTTGCCAAATGCAATCGTGCATTGCTGTTATTATTGAAAGGAGAAAAGTGCACTCAGGTCTCTACTTAGTCTCCTGACCACATCTTGCAACTGCAGTACTGGTAAGAGAAGCTAAGTATAGCTTGAAAAGATGCCAGTTTCCTCAGAAATAGCATGCTTGGACAAAACTCCTATCTCCTGCATTATTAAACTTAATGGGTGCTTCTCAGAATTTTCCATACCGTCCCAGAAGCCCAATATATCCCCCTTCTTCCGTGCCCTCAGCTGGATCTGGACCAAATTCTTCATGAACTAGCAAGATGAATACCAGAAACAATCTAATTCAAGACAGACCCAGAAGAGAAAAATACAAAATCTCACCTTCAATCTACAACTAAGACAACTGATGTGCATTATAAATTATCTACAGTACAACCTATTCTTGGCAATACTTCACTCTCTCTAACTCTTGGTAGCAGACTTATATTTGCTTACAGACAACCCCCCCAACCTCATACAACTATTGACATACAACAGACTAGACAACACTACAGAGCTGGGAATTAAACCCTGCTACAAACCCAGATGCCACCTCTGTGACCACATCTACTCTGGCAACCCAGTTACATGGTCCACAATCCCACACACAACATTAGTGGTATGTTTATTTGTTCCTCTGCTAATGTGATCTATGCCATCCTTCACCAACAATGCCCTTCTGCACTCTTTATAGAGCAAAAAGGATTATCTCTGCACAAAAGAAAGAATGGATAAAAAACTGGACATCAGGAATGGCAACACACAAAATACTGTTTCAGAACATTTCCACCTAGCTGGACTCTCTTTGAATTACTTGAAGTACAGTAGCTGTTTTGAGGAGGGGGGAGAACCACTACAAAACGAGACATAAAAGAGAAGCAGCTGAAATAAAGGGGTATATGGATGCTGGAGATCCAATTAAAAGGACTATCAATCCCTAAGACTCCCTAAGTCATTAACAAATACGAAATGCTACATTGACTCACAGTTTGCCATTTCTGTTAACTATGCTATTGTTACCTTGTAGACTAATAATTGGCAGAGATCCTTTGATCTGTATTCCTGCATTAAGGGGTTGGACCTGATGGCTTTATAGGCCCCTTCCAACTTCATGATTCTCTGAAATTATTCATAGTCTAATAGATCGTCGTTTAGTCGTGTCTGACTCTTTGTGACCCCATGGACCAGAGCACGACAGGCCCTCCTATCTTCCACTGCCTCCTGGAGTTGGGTCAAATTCATGTTGGTTGCTTCAATGACACTGTCCAGCCATTTCATCCTCTGTCGTCCCCTTCTCCTCTTGCCATCACACTTTCCTAACATCAAGGTCTTTTCCAAGGAGTCTTCTCTTCTCATGAGATGGCCAAAGTACTGGAGCCTCAGCTTCAGGATCTGTCCTTCCAGTGAGCATTCAGGGTTTATTTCCTTCAAAATGGATAGGTTTGTTCTCCTCGCAGTCCAGGGGACTCTCAAGAGTCTCCTCCAGCACCACAATTCAAAAGCATATTCACAAGTAACAAGCCCCAATTTCCCTCCCAGCACATACCAGTGTAATAGTCTGAAGGTATAATCCTATGCACCTTCAGCCCTGCAGAAGTGTATGAGATTTAAGTCCGGACATAGAGCTATACCATTATTTTATACCAATACTTTTTACTTTAGTCGCCTAGAGTGGTCCTGACACGACCACATAGGCGGGATATAAATAAAATAAATATTTATTCTGGCTCTCTTCCCTTTATTACAGTATTTATTAATCATTCTTTGCCAAAATTTAAAA